GAAAATTAATTAACGACCAGAGAAATAACAATACTGAAGATTCAAGTAATGTGACATCAACAATATTACAAAAGCCTCGTATAAAGACTAAACTGCATACATAATGCATGACTCATATGGAGCCAAGTAATGAAACTTGTAATAACTAACACTTTTAAAACAATCCATCTTCAACCCTCCTGTCACAAAATAAACTAATTAATAACACATATACCAAACAGTCTTGTATATCCAACAAATAGTCTATCAAAGATTATTTCTTGAGTACTGTTTAGCAAACGTATGGGTCAATAATTGTTTGGATTTTGTAATTGAGTAATTATTTCGGGGATTACAGTAATGACAACTGTTTTTCAGCACTTGGGTTAAAAACCCTGCTTTAAGTGATAGGTTATAGAGGGCAGTGAGGTAGGAGACATATCTCTCAAGGAGATTTTCAAAAGGATATTAGTGATTTCATCTTCTCCCTAGTTCTTGAGCATTTTAATATGGATTTTGACTTTGGTGCAGCTAATCAGTTGAGTGATGTTATTGTTTGAGTGGGAGGTGTCAGTCTAAGGATGCAGGGAAATGTGGGTTGAATAGGTGGCATTGGTGGAGATAGTCATTTATGGTGTTGAAGTGATTATTGTTAAATCACAACAAATCTGGCATTTTAAAGGACTCAGTAAGATAATTAGTGAACATGTTAGTTTTACTGTGTTGGCTGTTACATTATTATATGTAATAGTTCTATTGCTATGTGCTCGTATGTTGATTGGCAGAAATTATCCCAGTTGTTATTCTGCTGTTGTATGAATAATACCTTCATGTATTTGTTTTATCAGTTAACTAAAGTCTTTATTTGTGGGTCTCGCATGTTAACTGGAATCTAATTCTGTGCCTTTTATGATGTGCCCATAAATGGATGAGGTGAATTTACATGCTTTAAGATTGAGAGAAACTTTCCAGCTCAGAAATGTAGCTGCTACCTCAGATTTAATTGCTGTTATAATTTTGGTTGCAAGCTTTTCAACTCTGTGTTCATCGGGTGTATTGGAAGCTATGTTAATTGGGGTGGAATTGAAATAAGTCTTGATGGTCCCAGTTTACTCAAGTGAAACCATGGGCTAGCAGTTGGGGGTTAATGGGGGATAGTTAGTTAATGACTTCAGAGTTTTCTATTATATAGACTAAAGATACATGATTAATAATTCATATGGCTGTTCTTTAATATAAATTAGCTAATGATTTCAAATCAATGTGTTTTTAAACTCAATCTTTATTCTACTAACCATAATGTTTCTAATTGATTCTCTGGGAATTCTGTCTAGAACCAGAAGACTGCTGTAAGGAAATGAATACCTTGTATGGTTCTTTAAATGCATAGT